GGCCTCTGGGTGGCCCCCCTCCGGTATCTTTTTCCGCCAGTATCTTCTATATATTCCACAAAAATTCTCCGTAAATTTTCAGATCAATTCGATAACTTTTATTTCTGCACAAAAATAATACTATGACAATTCTACTGAAAACAGCATCAGCCCGGATTACTTCCATTCAAATCATGCAAATTAGAGTCTAAAACAAAGGTAAAACAGTTTGGAAAAGTAGATACGATGGAGGCGTATTGGTTTACTGTTGGTATTTACTATAAATGTAAATAATTTAAAATTAGTTTTATTTCACCATCAATTTTTTTATGTAATTACTATAAATGTACACATTAGATCATCAATTTGCAAATTAAGTTAAGTTATTTAGCCTTAATCATATGGATAGAAAAAGAAAGGTTAGGGTAGTGTAGCTTCTCTAACTTTGTTTCTCAGTGTTAGAGGATCCAATTCCCGTCAACCAACGACTGTATATGTTTACATTATGACATAGGATAACTGCGCGTTAATGTACTATAACAAAGGAGCTTGTGTAGCAGAAATGATCTCCAGTTTTGTGCGGCCTAATTTGCATCAATTTATTTTTTACAAATTAATAGATACATACTATTTAAATTATAATCTAAGTAATATTTTTTTTGCAAATATTGTTCATTTATTAGTTTTAAAAAATACTTACAAATTGTAAAAATCTCTGTATAATTGTAATACAAATATTTTTCAAAAATATTCATAATTATTAAAAAAATAGTTTTTCTGAAATTCATAGGATATTTTCAAAAATATTCATAATTAAAACATGTTTGTATAATTTCACCTGTTTGATTTGTAGAAATTCGTGGAGCAGAAAACTTTGTTCGTGTATTATTTTAAAATAATATTTATGTATTATAAAAAATATTTTTATAACAATACAAATATTTTTAAAATTACTATTTGTAAATATTATTTATTTATAAATCATTTCAACAATTATACACACATTTTTATAATCCAATGTCTGTATAATTAAAAATATTCATAATTTAAAATATAAATTGTTGGTATGAGTATTTAATCGTGTCTAATATGTAAATTATATATTATTTCTTAATATAATTCATGAGTAAAAATTATAAACAAGTGAAAATTCAAATATATTTAGTAAATGTTATAATCATCATTTTGTATATTTGAAATATAAGCCGCAAGTGCATAATAACTAATTTTTTTTATGTAATACACAAGTGTATATTTAATAAAATGTTGACTCTACATTTTACTTGTATTAAGTCACGTCCCCTCGCAAAAAAAAGTCACATCATGTGCAATGCAGATATTTAGTTGATAACCCGGACCTTTTCAGTATAACTAAAATTGTACTCCCTCTGTTCCCAAATGTAAGTCTTTTTAGAGATACCAACAAGCGACTACATACGGAGCAAAATGAGTGAATCTACACTCTAAAATATGTCTATATACATTCGTATATTGTATTCCATTTGAAATCTCTAAAAAGACTTATATTTAGAAACGGAGGGAGTATAAATCTTCTTGGACATGTAAATGTTCCTCTTGCAATGGTCTGATCTTTTTTGTGCCTACGTGAGCTAGCGAGTTCGATCCCCAATCCCACTTCTGTATTTGGCCCTCGCAGGGGCCACTTTTTTCCTATCAACGATGGTTTTTTCATTGCAATCTGCAAATAATAAAAGGCAGGGTGTTTTATGCAAATACATGTCGTGCTGAGTGCCATCTGTCGCTGACAGTGGGCCTTGTCCACACTAACATGCCAAGCAAGCACTGGATACGCCCGCGTAAGGGATATGTGACTGTATTTGCATGCCCGCGTAAATTCGATGACCAAAATTACATATTTTATAAATTTATGATCAAACTGACTGTCGCGTGTAAGTTCTAGACTCGCAGTGTATTTATCTCTTTTTGTACACGGTGATTTCCTTGGCCAAACGTACCGTCCGGCAACAGGATTGGTCGACTATGTGCAATCGTCTTCGTTGCATCGCATCTTCGCCGGAAAGTACTCAGCTGGATCTGGCCGCGTCTCAGCATTGGATAGATCATGTCTGGTCAGAGTAGGAGAGGAAAACACTCGGCTTCTCAATGGATTTAGAGTTTGTGTATTTGTTTTGTGTCTTCTAATTTTACCCTTTAACCAAAAAATACTACTGATTTTGTGTAGTAGTATTGGTGGATCTAGTCCATTGAATAACTATAAATGAAGGGCCCGTATTATTTTGATGCAAACGGTCTCTAGATTAGTGTTCAACAAATCACCTTGAGGATAGTATTTGACCCTCAAAATAGTAGCACGTAGAGAATCTGGATTCTCGCTAAGGTCTTGTAGAATGCAAGGTGCTTAGGGAGACGTTTAGATAAATGAACCGAATTTTTTTTAAGCACCGCGTCTACTATAAGAGAGACGCCTAATTAAGCGTCTACCCTGTACAAATAAGCGTCGGTGCTTAGAAAAAGTCTTGTTTATTTTTCTAAGCATCTCCCGCAAGCACCTTGCATTGTACAAAGTGTAGACACCAAACCTGTTTAGCATGTTCATGATCGGTCCATCTAGTCTTTGACTTTTTTGTTTGCTTTTGCGATTAAATGGATGCTTGTAAACTTTGAATAATTAATTGAGTGATTTTCTATTCGATCGATGCAAAGGTGGGAGGTTAACCCTTTTGTAAAAAAAAAGTAAAGCGACTAGTGGCTCAATTATTTGTGATGCACCTTAATATATGAGAAATGGTCATATTCAGCTGACTCATAACGTAAATGTGTAGACTACCTTCATTGCCTGAGAATTGCCTATGTGGTCTGACGTGACGCTCCATCCCTTGCTTCCAGATTCGTCTGCATCACACATCTCGCCCTACGCCATCTCCCACATGCCTTATCCTTTTCTTCCCCACCAACTACTCCATGGCTTCCACCTCCACAAATGCTTGTGACGCCGCAAGGATCACAGTGTTGCCGCAGAGGCCCAGCCAGAAGACATTGTTTCCTCACTGTCGCGGTATCAGGCTCCACAAAGGCCAATCGGCATATGGTCGTTGTTCGCAACATGTGTCATGTTGCAAGAGGTGGAGCTGCAGCAAGCTTCCTACTCGATCATCATTGCTGGAGGTGATTGCAACATGGTCCATGTCGCAATAGATGACCGCAATATGGTCCATGTTGCAAATGGATGGCAAATCCCACATCATGCAAGCTCGCAACATGGCCCATGTTGCAATATATGATCGCATCATGGTCCATGGTGCAATGGGTGATTAAAGACTCATGCGTTACTCGGTGACACGCGTGCAACAATGTCCATGTTGCAAAGCTCTCGAGCGCAACACAGTCCTTGTTGCGGTTGCGGCTGACGTGGCGAGCGATCAGACGGCTATCTCACGCGTCATCTAACGCTTGTGGCGGTCAATCTAATTGGTTCATCTTTCATCTTTCATGGGTTGCATGGGCCTTAATATATACTACTCGAGGAACATGTGATTGTAGAAAGGAAAACGCTTGCGTTCGGCGCGCCGGCCGAACGCTTCGGCCGGTCGTCTTCTCACACGCGCATTCATCTCTCTCCTTCTTTATTTCAAAAAAAAAAAGCATCGCAGCTCATTCATGGCTACTGCAGCCTTCGCCCACCGCCTGGCTGAGCGCCTCCGAGCAGATCCGTGTTGTTCCTCCAAGTCGGCTTGCCTCCCCTGTCGGATCTCGTCCGCAGGCCGTCATGGAGTCATCGGCCTCCCCTTCCCGTCGGCATGGGGGCGATCCCTTTTGGCCTTTTCCCATTTCCTCACCTGTTTCTCCTCCAGCGAGCAGGCCGCCGCCTCCCACGCCACCTCCTCAACAAATCCCCCGCGCCCTCGCATCCGATGCCACCGGTGTTGGAGATGAAAAGCCATGACCAGAGACGGTGATGTTGCAACCGGCGACGAGAAAAGCAACTACCGGCGACGAGAAAAGCTACGACCGGCGACGAAAAAAGCTACGACTAGAGACGACGACGTTGCAACCGGCGACGAGAAAAGTTACGACCGGCGACGAAAAAAGCTACGACTAGAGACGACGACGTTGCAACCGGCGACGAGAAAAGCTACGACCGGCGACGAGAAAGTGGGTCGGCCGCTGCGCAACATTAAAAGCTGCAACCGACGATCGATAATGCTACAACCGGCATTGTCGAAAGCTTCAACCGGAGACGACGGGAATCGAGGACCGCCCACCATGCAACCACGGAAGCTGCAACCGGTGACAAAAAAAGTTTCAACCGGCTAAAAAAAAGCTTCAACCGGCGATATAAAAAGGTTCAACCGGCGGCAGCGAAACGCAAAAAGCTGCAATCGTTGACACAAAAGCTTCAACCATATGTTTGAAAAGCTTCAACTAGAGACCGGCGAGAAAAAACCTGCAGCAGCGAGCCGTTGATGCAGACGACGTTCTCTATGCATCAATGGTGCTGCGGCGGATGCTGGAGCCAGCGCCCCTGCCATAGCTGCATAGGGAGGAGCGGACCAGTGGGCGCTGGTGTTGCAACCGGCAAGCAACGATGGCGAGCGGCGACGAGCAGCGACGACGAGCGGCGACGGCGAGCGACGGCAAGCAGCGACGGCGAGCGGCGACGGCCGCAACGAATCCCGACGGTGCTTCAAGCTCTCCGCTGCTCATGCGGGTTTTGACGGGGTGCGGCGTTGCTTGCTGCAGTTTTCTGTTTCTCCTATGTGGAAGGAGGACGAAGCGAGGTGGAGCGATCCGATGGCTCACATAGACAGAATCGTACGGCCCGCGTACGACCGGCCCAAATTTGGGCCGGTGCACCGGCGCGTATCATCGCCCTTGTAGAAAAGTATATTTTCATGTCTGCTTTTTGTAGGAGGCACATCTCTAACTGAATACTACAACGAAGAGTCCACTCAGACGTCAGACCCATCAACGTTGAACTTTTGTACCCACATAACCCGAAGGTCTGTACCAACCACCTCATTCTGATCTGTGCTTGAGGCATGGAGAAGAGTAAGGTTCTTGTAGTTGGTGGCACAGGATACATCGGCAGGAGGATTGTGCGGGCGAGCCTAGCCCATGGCCACCGGACCTTTATCCTGATGCGGCCGGAGATCGGCCTCGACATCGATAAGCTCCAGCTGCTGCTGTCGTTCAAAGCGCATGGAGCGCTCCTCGTCGAGGCGTCGATGGAGGACCACCGGAGCCTCGTCGCCGCCGTGAAGCAGGTGGACGTGGTGGTGTCGGCCATCTCCGGGCGTCACTTCCTGCTGCAGCTCAAGCTAGTGGAGGCCATCAAAGAAGCTGGAAATATCAAGGTCGGTCGCTTAATTAACTCGCGCAACTGCTATATTTAGACATATGGATCAGTCAAATTCCTTGAGATTGGTAGATCCCTTTTCTGAGATCTTGAGAACACGGAAACATCGACTGGGAAGAAGCCACCTCTCTGCAGTAGTCGACGTTGGCGACAACGGCGTCACCTCTGTATCACTCCATGGGAGATTCCCCATCCAGCATCTCCTCTGTAACAAATTCCCTGAAGCAACTGCCTTTATTAAGATATCTGGCACTGATTTTTCACATGTTTCCGGTACTCGGCAGGTTCAGACTAAGTAAGCCGCCTGCTGTAAAAAAACTAAAAATGCAAGAATAAAGTTGCCAAGTTGCTTTAGTACACCCGTTTAAAAAGGTTAAAGAATTTCGATGTAGATCATCATGGCTACCGAGGGCTGTACCCAAGAAAACCTCGTTGTCAGGTTTGAGGCTTATTCATTCGGAGACCTTAAAAGTCAGCTATTCTTGTGAATTATATAGCTGAATTTGGTGTCAGGACATGAGAGGAAGAGAGAAAGTGAACTGCTAGGAGGACTATAAGTTTGGATTCTTTCTTTGTTTTCTGAAGTTGCTGAAAACGACAGTAACTATGAAGTGCCGTGCAGGTGCAGTCATACAAACATAATACTACTTGTCTTAGATTTGTCATGTATTTTGACACATTTTAGTGTTAGATACGTCCATATCTAGACAAATCTAAGACAAGGAATTTGGGACGGAGGTAATATAATATTACAATTCTTCATGCAGCGTTTCCTACCATCTGAATTCGGCATCGACCCAGCAAGGATGGGGCACGCTCTAGAACCAGGAAGGATCACATTTGACGAGAAGATGGAGATAAGAAGGGCAATAGAAGAAGCAAACATTCCACACACCTATGTTTCCGCTAACTGCTTTGCTGCTTTCTTTGTTCCTAACCTCTCTCAAATGCGCACCCTTCTCCCGCCCAAGAAGAAAGTTCACGTGTACGGAGATGGCAAAGTCAAAGGTCATAACTATGAACATTTGTGTTCAAACCATAATGTTACAGTAATCCCACCTCTGACAGTATATAGTTGTATTGTGTTATGCAGTGATATTCATGGACGAAGATGACGTCGCAACATACACCATCAAGTCCATTGATGATCCTAGGGCCTTGAACAAGACAATATACCTAAGGCCGCCGGAAAACATCCTTAGTCAAAATGAGCTGATTTCCAAATGGGAAAAGCTCTCAGGAGAAGTCCTTGAGAGAATTCCCATTCCGTCTGATGAATTCTTGGCGTCAATGGAAGGTAAGAAAGAATCGTCTATTTTGTTGAAGCTAAATTATTAAAAAGATCAAATGTCCACAGATTTTCTGGTGAAATATTTCCAATTTTGTTTTATCCTTTTACATTTTTTGAGAAATACAATAAAACACACATAATTAGTAGGTACAATGGCATTATGAGCGCTCAATTGTTTTTACCATGTACAAAGTTCTACAAAAAAATATCATTGTAAGAGAAAATTATCTTAGGTAATATACAATGGCATTATGTTACACTTCTCTTGAAGGAATGCTCTTTTACCACCTAAAAACACATGTTATCCTCTTGTCCACAGGAAGTCATTTCCAGTTTTCTTGTTATTTCAATCACCACATATTTTCTTTCAATATAACAATCATTAATTGCCAGCGCTAACATGAAAAGATAAACCATTGTATAACATGTTCTTATTGTGATCTTTAGATCATTGGAGAAAATTATCTTGAGGAAATGTGGAATTACAAAATATTACTAAATGCCAGATTTCATCCACTTCAATAAGTTATAATATCAAATTACTTAATGTTACCTCCATTCAGAAGAGATGTTGTTTTCAAAATTGTGTAGTCAAACTTCACCATTGGTATACATATATAAGAAACTATTTAAATTAGTTAGGTGATAATTACAAAACTAAATCGGTCATGACCAAAAAATTCAAACTCAGACTAATAGCCATGCCATGATAAAAACTGATCTACAAACTCATGTAGGTGGTCTCATATAAACAAACACAAATTAAATAAATACGTTAAGTATGTCTCCCTTCTACATAAGATTTTTGTTTTTACATTATGCTTTACACATTCAACAATTGTTTAACTTTTTACTATCTAAGATTTGTAATCAAGGATGGTAAATATTTTATATTGTTAAATAGAAATTATTAGGATACTTGAAACACAAGTTTACTCAATTGACAAGCAAATTCACAGTTGACACTATTCTACTTGTATGAAGGTACGGACATTACAAATCAGATGGCGGTGGGGCACTTCCACCACATTTTTTATGAGGGTTGCTCAACAGACTTTGATATAGAGGAGGATGGAGAGGAAGCTTCTCTACTCTACCCGGAGGTTCGCTGCACCAGGATGGAGGACTACATGAAACGTTATTTGTAATTAAGAAACTGTATGAACCTTAACTGCCTTACTAGCACACCTTGCACACCACATATGTTACTCCCTCCAACCTAAATATACGACGTTTGGTAGGCTAACTAGCCTACTAGAACGTCATATATTTAGGTACAGAGGGAGTAGAAAAGAAGTGTTTTTTTAATTGTTTAGATTGCTTGCCACATGTGTCACGTGGTTAAAAAAAAGAAGTGGTTTTATATTCGTGAGGAAAATAAGGGTTCACTACACCACATATGGAGGTGCAAATAACTATTTGTAATTAAGAACACGTATAAACCTTAATTACCTTTATCAGCGACGCAGCACACCACATATATGTCAGAAAAAAAGTTTGTTTTATACTATTCATGAAGAAAAAGGTTTTGGCTTACCTTAATATGTGTTGTACTTGTCTTGTCCGCGCATATTGAATTTGCAATGAAGCCAATTGTATGTGTTGTACTTGTATCATCTCCGGGCTGGAAAATGTAATAACTAATGATAGATAGATTTCCCACTGCAATTGGAATGTGGGTTGCAGTACTTAGAGTATCTCCAATAGATTCCCTAAATCCACCAAGCCTTTAAGAAAACCGCTCAACATAAAGACTAGGGTGCAAAATATTCACTCTACCATCAAACTAAGTCAACCAAAAAAAAAGAGGCAGATCTAACTGACCTCGATCATTAAACCAGGACAACCCACCGACCTAAATTGCTTCAGTTCAGTGGTGAGTGCTCAACATATTTAATGTGCAATTAATTACATATCAAATATTACCGTCAATGCTAATCACATACTAATTCTTCAATAATATCCTACATACTAATATGTACATGCAATTAATATTTGTCTATTATCAATGTGTGTTGCACGCACATATCTCATATACCTAAGAAGTTCACCTCACCGGGAGGACCATTTTGGCTCTTTGGGTGCATATGCTCCCTAATGAACAGTAAATTCAAAATAAATAGTAAATAAAATTTAAAAATTCTGAATTTTCTGTAGATGTTCTTGTTTGTGTAACAAGTGTGCTTGCCAATTTTCATGCAAAACGGGATGACGATGATTCATCAGTGAAAAAACAAAAATAAGTGTAACATTAGGAGGCAACATTTGTCAGATCAAAATACTTAAGCTTTCCTCCTAAAAATTTGCAGGTAGCGTTTTGGTGTGACAATGATTACTTCTAATTTTTTTCAATTTTTTTTGACATTTGAAAAAGGAGCATATGCTCCCAAGAGCCGAATTGGATTTCCGATCCCCACTATCTTACTTATTTCAACATGCAAGCACATCACCATATAATTATATATGGGATAAGGCCCACCTCAACATTCAATCATGCATGGGGAAAAACCCACCACCACATGCAACCATGCATGGGAAACATTTTTCATTCTATTATTCTACTTATGTTAAATAAGTATTTTACAATTATACATAATCAAATATAATAAGCCGTATCTATTTTAAATTTGGTTCACGTGTTATTAATCTAAATATTATATTACACCCAATCAATTCTAATTTAGTTTGTCAAAAAAAATCTAATTGCAATATATTGCAACCGATTTCCACAGCAACGCGCGGGGTATTATCTAGTTTATACTAGTTATTTTAAATAAAATAGATAGAAAAGAATAAAAGGAAAAGAAATGGGAAAAAATATCTTTGGTCGGCCCAGGTAGACGATTAGCGACCGCCGTGGCGTGCCTCCCGTTTTCCCTCACAGGGGCCCCACTTCGAAACCGAAACGTCGCCGCGGCGGCGGCGTGCGGCCCAATCCCACCGCTTCTGGAAGAACAGAATGGACAGGCATAGGCCGCGGCGGCAACTTGGGTTGCGACCGCCGCCGCACGTCTCCCGCCAGTTCGCTCCCCCTCGCCCCGTACGTCCGTGCCGAGGAAGTTAGGAGGTACGCACCGCCGGCGCGCGCCTTACATTGCACTGATTGCGTGTTCATCTTAGTTCCGCTGGTTCCATGAAACGACGGACGAAGTTCCATACAGCTTACCTCCTTCGTTTCTAGGTTTCTACCGCCTCATGCCTTGGTAAGTCGGGGGCCCTATTTTTTGCTTCCATTCACAGAGCGTTGCCTGTTGCTTACTACCAACCAATGCTCCTCTCCTCTTTTTGTAGATTTTGAAGGTGGAAAGGAACAGGATGATGTACGGAGATTCAGAGTCATCTGTACAATATCGATGAAGGTTTACCCCCTACCGCCTTTATCAGAATTTTCATGGCTAATGTGGCCACAATTGCAGTACTGTTCTTTGAAGGATGCATCTGTTGGACTTGTTACAGTTCACTAGAAAAACAGATTGCACGGGGAACGAGTGAAACCAACTTGTTGGTTTGCCCAAGAGAATCCTGGATGAGTTGGCTTTGCCCAATGCGTTGGAACCAAACTCTAGTTTTCTCTCCCCTTCCTTGAGCTCGGTTTGGGGACCGTAGAACTATCTGAGAATGAGAGAGCGCCTTTTGGTTTATAATTTGCATTGTGCATTTCATTCTGGAAATATCAAGTAGGCCTTTGTGCGCGTTGGGGATGCAAGAAAAATGTTGTATCTCTATCGGACAGTTCTCCCCCTCCTAAAACTCTTATACTCTAGTTGTTTATTTATTTTATTAGGAGGAATTTGTGGACTACAAACACACCAGCAGATGAGCAGAAGTGGTGAGGATGTCATCACTTCCCCTACGGTGAAACTCCAATCAGGTTGGATGATCATAGTTATTAAGCAATTAAATACCTGGACACACTCAACCATGATCTTTCATATGTCATCTGATAAGGAAACAAGCATTGCTTCCTTTAAATCTAAGCTAGTTAGCAGAAACAAGGTGAGAACCTTGTTTGGTTGATGGGGATTAGCAAAAACAAGCCTTGAGTTGAGTGAATTACAGTTCCGTTCAATCTTTAGCTGGAAGACCTATTCAAGCCACCATGATTAGCTAGGCTTCTTGTTCTTTGGTGTCCGGCTGTGTCTTCCGGTCCCCGCACCCTTTTCAGCATTATCCTTTTTTCTTGCTGTAAATTTGCTTTGTAACATTACCCTCCCTTCATCAATGAAATCAGCTGCTAGCTGCTTTTCGTCAAAAAGAAAGAGAGAAAAATCCAACGCGCCCCATAGTTATCTATGTGCACGCTACATTACATATTGTGATAGTTAATACTGCTCTTTGTTCACTTGTAACTGAAGCGACTGAGCAAGTATCTAACATCACATACGTGCTATCTGAAACTATAAATCAAAACGTAGGTGCTAAGGTGACTTATGATTAAGTTGTACATATCCAACCATTATTCAGAGCATTGATTTGCTTGAAATACTCATACTGTACCTTATCACTCTGGTAAGTCTACATGCTAATACGATGCCTCATCAGAACCAAGGGACAGTACTGTAGCTACTGTCAGATAGGGCTGCAGTTGAGAACGTCTGGTCCACTTCCATTTCCGCATCTGATCTTTTGGCGAAGCGGCCCTTGATCCTTGGCCGTGCTTCGGCATACGCCTTCCTTGTTGCATAACGTGTGGTCTTCTCAAACTTTCTGCTCTTCTTCTTCTCCTTGTACCTGAGGACCCTGGCCTCTCTCTCCTTGGAGCTGAGGTGCAGTGGCGTCTGAAGTGAAGGACTTGAGAAGAGACCGATCGCTCCAGCAGGTCTCAGGATGCTGGACTGGACCGTATTGTCCGGTACTATACCCGCTTCCATGGAGAAAGATATCTGAGATGGAATCGGAAAATGGTCACTTAAAATGTGCAATCATATTGATATTGCAGCTGAGATCCTTCATGGATACGTAAATGAGTTTAATTTAGTTGAACGTACATAACTTTGTAGTATAACCTTTTCCCTGTTTAGACTATAGAACTATGTAAACTCTGCTTAGGGATAAAACCTACACTAGACTTATTAATTATGAAATATCTAATGATATCTCATATTCTTTCATGTAGTGATCCGTATGTATAGAGAGAATGGTAAACAGAGAGCGTAGCTTCTACTTGGCAGATAATCTGAGAGTTTGTGTATGGAGTGACCTTCTAGTTACTGAGAAAACTTGAATATTCTATGTCTAGAAGTACACGGACTAATCAATTACTTTGCCTAAACTTTCTTTAGAGTTTCTATGACAGTAATTCCATTTTAATTAGTTTACTTTCCTAGAGATGAATTGTATACTTCTTTAGTTGGTAGAGAATTTCGGAGTTTACATATGGATTGAGAGCTGACATGGTTGTTCTGTGTCTAAAAGTACAGGAACTGATCCATTAATCTGCCTAGACATGGGTCGTGTACTTCTCTTTGGAGTGGCTATGTCAGCAGTTCCATTTTGGAAATAATCAGCTGAAGTTCTCTAACTAGAAGTAGAAAAAGTTGAAGAAAGAACCAAAAAAGTGAGGAAATACTAAATACCGATGTTTCACACTTTCACTTGCACCAAAAAAAATGTACTCTGGCTGATCTTATCATTTTATTTCATATGGTCTTCCACCTGAAGTATGCATGCACTCTAGTTTAAGGAAATTATAGCATGCCATGTAAGTTGTAATGCCATAAAGTAATAGAAGAACTCACGCTGTTGTTGAGGGAATCTGTGTAAGCACTAACCCCAGCAGTCACGGAGGCAGCCTGCTCTGCCCCTACAAGTGGTGCATAACCACTCTGATGTGGCCTACTCACAATTGCAGACTGTGAAGGTACTATGCACTCGCTCCCTTCCTTCTCCACGTACTCCTTTTGCATCTGCTGCTCCGCGTACTCCTTTTGCATCTGCTGCAGATGTTGTTGTTCTTGCATCACATACTGCTCTTGGTTGCTCATGCGGCTATCATAGTAAGAATTGTACCCGACAAGGTCAAAGTACTGATCCACTTCACCAAAGTATCTGCTAGTGCTGCTGCTGCTGCTGTTGTTACCACTGTGATTATGGTTATCAGAATCTTTGCTGAGCAGCAGCCAAGAGGCATCCTCTTCCTTGCGGCCAAGGACAGGAGGGGTGGCTGCTGCCTCAGCAAATAAAGAAGCAGCTGGAATGGCTGCAGCCGGGTGTGATACCACGGGCACGCGCTGGTGCATCGCGGCAAGCAGGTTTGTGTAGTGTACCTGTGCTTCATAGGCGGCGCACAACGCTGCAGCATCTGCATGACATTCCAGCACCACTGGTGCATGCTTGTACGCCTCGGAGAGAAGCACACGCTCATGGCGTGAAGCCACACGGTTTGCGGCGTGGATCTGCGCATCACAAGATGCGCAGAGGTACGCGGAGTCGGCGCGGCAGTACACCACGCTTGGCACCGCGCAACATCCGTCGCACAGCCTGGCCCAGCTCCCTTCTCGTCCAACCGCCTCCTCATAAACGGTGCCGTTGGAAACACAATTCATGAACAAGGTGGCCTTGTGACTTGCACCACAAAGACCATGCAAGGGGTATTCGTGAAGGTAGTAGCTACTGTTTCCCTACATATTCTGTGTATATGTCTTCTTCTGCTCCTCTACCTCTCATGGCTCTTTCGTGTGTGTTCATGCACTGCCTATGTGAGTATGGAGGAATGTCAGGAATGTAGGACGTCCGGTCCAGAGTATACTAATAGTAGGGTGTCAGTGGGGTGACACTTGGCGTCATTCTTGGGGGCGAGGATTATAGTGTGCCTGGTTTGTGGTTAGCTTTGGATGTTGCTGCTTCACTATCCTGTGCCAATGCCGGTCTTCCGATGCAGAGTCGTTTTCAGATAAACATTTATTGCACCTCGGCATGCCTGCGAGTTAGCTCTAGTGTTGCTCAGCTAAATCTGCTTGAGCTTGATATCAAATCTATCTGGTGAAAGAAATTTGCATGTTTGCAGGTAGAAGACTTAAATCTTTTACAACTACTTTCCCATTTTTTGTTGGGATGATCTGTGTGTTCACTTTTTACATTTGGACTCAGATGCCAGCTGATTTGAATAGCCGCCGATGCAAATCCGGAGGTGCATTACTTGGATCAAGAGAACTCTCATATATATCACACGATTGATTGGCCCTGGATGATGAAATTGTCTTTGCCTGGATTGGACTAAACCTAAAGGTAGAAACTAGAGAGAACTAGAAGCCATTACGGTATAAAGGAGACAGAGGGAAGATGCTGCATCTCTCTTTATGAGCAGTTGCACCCTTTAGCAAAAGAGAAAGGGGGCCTGTCTTCTGTTAGATTCCAAAGCATGAGGTTTTCTGCCATTCATTGGCGCTCCCCCTTAGCCGTTCCGCCTTTTGGAACCTCAAGTGTGAGGTAGCAAGTTGAGATATTGAGAAAAGCTCAAAAGCACCCTGCCATGTCACTAGATAGTTTCTTTGCTGTCCTATTCATCTGAAAATATCTAATATGATGTGTAGTGGAGAAGTCAATTTGACGGTGCGTCTTGCTTATCTCAGCTATGAGGATTTGCTAATCAGCAATGAATTCACATTGCTTCTTACGCGTTCTATTTAGAATCTGTTGTTTTTCTTTTCAAGGCAAATCCATCTCCTGTGGTCTAGTCTCTAACCTTTCTGAGTTATGCACTTGGTACTAGCCCTGTCAAACCATGAATTACTATGCATTTGTCACTATGCTTGGTAGAAAAAAAACATTAATGTTCTTATTTTCATGAGCTTTTATATGGTACTCCCTCTGTTCGGAATTACTTGTCGTAGAAATGGATGTATCTAGATGTATTTTAGTTCTAGATACATCCATTTCCGAGACAAGTAATTCCGAACGGAGGGAGTATTTTGAAGAGTAACTTGGTTATATGAGTACTGCCAGTACCCACTTCCCAATACAAAACAGCCATAGAAAACTTCTTTGTAGTGTAAAAGGAGATAGTCATGGATTGAGTTTGCTTGTTTGTTGGTTGAATTAAGTAGTGTGTCAAACTTCAGAGGTTAAACAAGATATATTCTTTATGTACATACTTTCTTTGTGTATTTTCCTTTATTTTTATGGATATAGTCGAACTGCGCATGAAATTGCATCAATAAATTCTTCTGTGAAATAGATACTTTCAGTGATTGAGCAAGTCTTGACACAAATTTTCTGAACAAAAGTTAAACTTGCATGTAAGTCTGCAACATGACTACTGGTTTTAAGGAGCTTATGTTACTTGGTTATGTAACCTTGGACCGCGTTAAACAAATTACCCCTTGGGCCGCGCTTGGATTAGGTGTAAAATAATATGGAGGTGTTTTGTTTACAGGTGTAACTTACCGGCTGATGAGCAATTTCCACCCGGAAACAAAACGACCGACCGAGGCATGTATTTTTTTCGGAGGTATTTGAAACGGAAACACTGATCCAAACAGGGCCTTGGTATATTTGATTCAAAACAATAAGACGATAATGTTGGGGAAAAGAATCTCATTCCCACCAGTAGTTCGATCAGGTATGTGCAGCTAAAAGCATAAAGATAGATATTTTTCTGCTCATATCCATATTTATTCTGTTTCATGAGTGCGTATATATACAGAAGTTTCATGTAGGTGGTGACTCATGAGTTGCCAAAACAACTGAAGAATGGGCTCCACGACACAGGATATTTAGAAGATGGTGACAACTAAAGCAATGTTGGGGGTACTTTGACTGGGGCAGCTCTTGTGTCATGGTCGTGTTAGGGAGGTGTCCGGCAGCTGTCGTGAAGAAGCCTTCGAGGCCCTGTGCGTTGCTTCTTCGTCATTCTGCTAGAGGCTGGGCAAGGCAAGGCTGAGTCTCATGCCTTCGCGTTCCGGAGTATGGGCTGTTTCCACACCTGGTTGTAGGCCATCTCATGGCTTCGTGCTTTCTTTTCTTTTCCTGGCCTCGCCAAAATTTGGTCCCTCGTGCTTTCTTCTTATGAAAATGACCTGCTCCCAGGCATGTTCGAGAGAAAAATGCTAAAGTATAAAGAAAATCTCATTGGTTTAGGACTCGGTAAGGTACACCAATTTTTTGGCTTCCTTCTAAGTTTTGTGAAAAAAAAGAGCAGGAACTTTGCCGATCAGTTAAAGGAAGGAGTTACGGTTTACCTGCAGAACTGACTATTAAAGGCTGTTTTAGGCATTAAGCAGACAGGGCGTTAAGAAGCATTCAGAGGCAAAAGCTACACAGGTATTCTCCTTTCATTGGCTCTGGCAAGACACTTGTTGTACTGTAGCTGTCTGGATTTGTAAGATCCTCATGCCCCTTTTCTTTCCAGATATTCCAAATTGTAGTGCACAGGACCGTACTATTTTAAGTCTCTCCTATGGTCCCCGCGCATCGCTTTTCGCGTGCTGCTGCCCCCGTTTTTGTTTTCCTCACTGGTATAGATAGATATCTTCCCAGAATAATTGGTTTCTATCTGTTCGAAAGGAAAGGACGAAATGTCCCTGTTGCTGCCAGCAGTGTGATGGATACATCTGAGTTAACACGTTCCAAATCAACTGCTTGTATTCATGGGAAGGTGATCTAACAATGGAACATGAGGTTTTTCAGCAACTTAAGTCAAATATGAATAATTAAATACTACTAGCATATTTTGTTAGTTGGCATTCAACACCTGTAGATCTGAGTTCCTTTTACCTAACATAGCAGTGGAAGCATCCAAATGATTTAAAACAAGGGAACAGCAGGCATGTCATATTATAGTTTTATATATGCACCTGAGCAGCTCTTGTGATTTTCCAATATTGGTGAACCCAAAGCCACCAAACACTGCTACAGAGAGAGAGAGAGAGAGAGAGAGAGAGAGAGAGAGAGAGAGCCTTTGACCCATTAGTGTGCTACAGCACAGAACTAGAGATACTTTCTGCTTGCTTACTCCACCAACCACAACAGAGTTAGCTCATCTCCCTCTTGACTAGTTTCTCTCCATACACCACGTAGGCTTGTCTTACTTTGCTATAAAGCTCATGCAGAACAAGAAACTTGCCACAAAAACATCTGAACCCGAACCATCCAAGCACAGGAACAGCTAAAACTAGTTTCAGGATGGCTGCAGCTGCGTTGTGCTTCAGGGCGTCTGCTCTCTCCGTGGCCTGTTTTCTCCTGGCCGTGCCATTGCTGATGGCACAGGACCCTTCGAACCTGAGCCTGGAGCACTACTCCAAGACATGCCCAAATGCGGAGCATGTGGTCCGTGCCGAGATGGAGTGCGCGGTGCGCGACGAACCACGCAATGCCGCTTTGATGCTCCGCCTCCATTTCCACGACTGTTTTGTGCAGGTTGACTACCCGCACACTTTTTTGCCTGCACACGCTAGCTTTGCAGCCAGCGAAAGTAATTAAGTTTGCTCTGAACACCTGAATGTTTGTTTGTTGCAGGGCTGTGATGGATCGGTGCTGCTTGACGACACGGCGACCATGATCGGTGAGAAGCAGGCAGACCAGAATGTGAACTCGCTGAAAGGATTTGAGGTGGTTGACAAAATCAAGGCAAAGCTGGAGGCTGAGTGTCCTGGAACAGTTTCCTGTGCTGACTTGCTTGCCATTGCAGCCAGGGACGCAGTTGTCTTGGTAAATGAAGCCAAACCTATGTTCAGAGTTTTCATTCTTGTGCAGTGGCTTAATTACTTTCGCTTGCACCACTTTCATATCAGGCTTGCCTTTTGAGAAATAAGTCAGTATCCATTAGAAAAACAAACATGTATTTCATTATAACCTGCTGCTACCTGATATAACCTGCTGCGCCATTTGGATGCTGTTTAGCTACTAGCATGCAAACAAAGAACATGACAGATACATTTCGTGAAAATAGAACACCACAGACTCCATATCTATCTGACAAGGGGGGGAAATGTTTCAGGTCGGTGGGCCTTACTGGGATGTTCCAGTAGGAAGACTGGACTCCAAGGAGGCAAGTCTTGACCTAGCAAACAAGGACATCCCCACCGCTGAGCAGGGCCTCCTCACCCTTATTTCCAAGTTCTGGGAGAAGGGCCTTGATGCCACTGACATGGTGGCCCTTGTCGGTATGATCTTCTCTCTTTTGACAGTTGCGGTTTATATTTGAAAAAATCACTAGTTCTATTCATATCAGCAGAACCAGACAATCAGGCATTATAAGCAATGTAAAATACATGAACAATTTGGTAATTTTGAAGTAGGATCTACAGATACTCCTTTACGTCTTTTAAAAATACCAATATGGAGATGCAACTTTGTAACCTGAACCTTCTGAATTCTGATATGTGTGAGTGGGCGCACCCTTGTTATCTTCTTAAGCTGAACAATGCTTACTAGACATATGACATTTGCATTGAAGGATCCCACACGATCGGATTCGCCCGGTGCGCAAACTTCCGGGACAGGATATACGGCGACTTCGAGATGACATCCAAGTACAACCCTGCGTCTGCGACCTACCTCAGCAAGCTCAAGGAGATCTGCCCCTTGGATGGTGGCGACGACAACATCAGTGCCATGGACAGCCACACTTCCGCGACCTTCGACAACGCCTATTTCGAGACGCTCATCAAGGGTGAGGGCCTCCTCAACTCCGACCAGGAGATGTGGTCCAGCATCGCCGGGTACTCGACGGCCGACACGGTGAACAAGTACTGGGCTGACCCGGAGCTGTTCTTCAAGCAGTTCTCGGACTCCATGGTTAAGATGGGCAATATCACCAACCCTGCAGGTGGCGAGGTCAGGAAGACCTGCAGATTCGTGAACACATAAGCTGAAGGAACCTTTGTTTGCGTCTTCTCCTTCGATGGTTGATGATTGTCTGCAAATAAGAACGTTTTTCATAGCATATACTCTACTGGTATAGGTATTATCGTCGTCGCGCTACACAGAAATATTTTGGCTGTATGGAGTAATGGAGAATGTACACATCATGTATTTTGAGGGTTTTGCACAACCTGATATTATGTACACATCAGCAATGGATTCTGATCAGATTTTCGCACCTGTTTCAATCTGAAAATGCAGCAAGAAAAGCAGAAAAAAAAAACTGCCAAAGAGAAAATACAAACTGGGCAAATCAAAACTTTACAACTTCAAGAGAAGCCCCTTGTTACAAGTTACAACTAGTCTTATTGTTTCAGCTAGAAATCTGTAATATTAATAGTTCAATACCATTCCAGGGAGTTGGGGTACTCTCCTGTGTACACTTCATCTAAGATACATACATCACTATTTATACTTTACCTCAGTATTGGATTATTTCCAAATCTACATAGGATTATCATGCTGTACAAGGACTGCTGCTTGGTGTTCTCAGTCTGTGGGCGCTTGGTGATCATGTCATCTTGGCCCAGAGAGCTCGACGGCCTGCACCAGCAACGATGAGTCATCCGTCAGGTCAGAGTAGCAGCGGCTGAAGGTGAACTCAGGCACTGTGAACTTGTGTGAGTCGGCCCGCTGCGACGCTTGCCACCGTTCGGCGAGCCCGTCGCCTTCCAGCATGCGAACCACCTCTGACATCCTCGGCCGGTGGCCTGGGAGGTACTGTGTGCAAAGGAGCGCCACCTGCACCATCTCCTCGAGCTCGATCCGGTCGTAGCTGCTCCGCAGGCCCTTGTCAACCAGCACATCAAGTTTCTTCTCCTGGTGCATCTTCTTCACCTGATCATCAAGCAATGCTGTCATGAGCTAACTTAAGCATGATGGCAGGGCGTTTGCAATTATGAACAGTTTCGACAAAAGTGCTTTTCATTTCAGGTTGTTCCATGCACTTTATTAGTTTTTCTCAAGTATTTTTTTGCAGCAGTTTAGTCAAGTAAATTGCAGAGGCTTCATTACCCAGTCCAGCATGGCTCCCTTCTGATTTGATGCCTTTCCGAACTCCAGTGCTGTCTGGCCGGTGATCAGCTCCAGCAGCAGGATGCCAAACCCGAAGACGTCTGTTTTCTCGGATGACTGCCCAGTGGAGAGGTACTCAGGCGCGATATGCCCAACGGTGCCCCGCACTGCAGTGGTGACGTGTGAATCCTGGTGATCAAGGAGCTTTGCAAGTCCGAAATCACCGACGATGGCCTCACAGCAATCATCCAGCAACACGTTGGCCGCCTTGACATCTCTGTGGATGATCTTCGGGTCACACTGCTCATGAAGGTAAAGTAGACCTCTTGCTGCTCCAAGGGCTATCCTCTTCCTAGTGATCCAGTCCAAAGGCGGCTTTCCTGGAATAATTAGACCGGTATAAAGTGGAGATTTCCTTTGATAGGAATCGTATGCTCTGTGATAAGTCTTTGTGCAAAGAAACAGAAAAAAATGAAGGGAAGAATCCAATTCTATGTCTTTTTCACATTCGGCTTGTCGGATTGCAGCTTTCAATTCTGCATCGTTCTTTTTAGGCATGACATCTGAAAATTCTAGAACGAACATATGCTGCACAACAAGTGGGTCTATAATTGGGCAAACAGTTCTCCTACTTACATTTGGTTCCCAGGTTAAGATTCTCCTAGCCTTGTTAGGCAAGGCGGGTCACTTGGTAACATGAAAAAGGTTTACTTTGCTTGGCTAGATAACTAATAACCACAACCAAAACGTGGAGGAGGCTAGCTGAATTAACCACTCCCACTCAGCAGGCAAGGTAAGACAACACTGCTGCTGCCTCCAACTGCCACACACCCAACAAAGCAATTTGCTTTTCTTGGCTACGCCAAAATGAGCTAGTTCTATCTAGCCTAGTTAAGCAAGGGATGTCAAGGAAAGGCAGATAATCTTGCTGGGAGTTTGAGGTGCTGACCTTTCAGGCGCGAAGCAACACTTCCATTCGACATGTATGGATAGACTAGTAACCTCTCTGTGGCAGTCATACAGAAGCCAAGAATCCTAAGGAGGTTCCGGTGCACTGCCAAGCTGATCATTTCAACTTCAGTCTTGAACTGTGACTCACCACCCGCAGCATTACCGTCCTTGAGTCGTTTGACAGCCACAAGAGTCCCATCGGGAAGCTGCCCCCTGTAAACGTGTCCGAAGCCGCCTTTTCCGAGTATGTTCTTGCTGCTGAATTTTTCTGTTGCAACCTGCAGCTCCCTGAACTGGAACCTCCTCACATTTCCAAGGCTAACGTTATCCATGTGTTGATCTGCATCAATAGCAGTGCTTCATCAATTATCAGGTTCCAAATCGATGCACAAAGTACTGCATGGAATTCTTGAAGTCTCACTTACCTTCGTCATCGAAAAGTATCTGCCGGTTCCGACGCTGTCTCCACCAGAACAAGAATCCGGCAGCAAGAAAGAGGAAGCCCATGCAACCAGTTACAGCACCAAATGCAACTGCAAACTTGTGGCTTTTAGCTTTCATTGGCGGAGTGCCTTGTGAAAGGTTGTAGGTCATTGGCATCGGCGCAGTCCCGTAACAATCTTTCTCCGTATTTGCAGCGCATATGAGAGGATTTCCAACTATGCTGCAAGAGAACCAATAACAGAACAAAGCTTACAGCTTAAACTTGATACAGGTTCATACTTCCATGACAAAAATTAAGCTTATTCAAACAAGGATGAACACAATCTGAGCTGCAGCCTTACTTGTATGTTCTTGCCAAAGATCCTGGTATCGGGCCACTTAGGTTATTGTATGACAAATCTCTGCAGGGCACAAGTGCACAGTGAGAACATCCCAAACTAATAATTCATGGGTAAGAAAGACCACGTGACAGCAGGGAAATTACTCACAGGAAAACAAGGTGCGACAGATTAGTCGATGCGGTAGGGAATGGACCAGACAGTGTATTGTTGTTGAGCCTCCTGGTCAGATTACAACAGACCTCGGGTTAACATCTCAAGGAACAACAATTATGCAACGCACACACATATGCACAAGAAGTGCATTCAGAGGTTTGTACAGTAGAGCTCACAGGTACTGGAGGCTCTCAAGGTGGCCCACGGATGGTGGGATTTCACCATAGAAATTGTTGCCAGAGAGGTCAAGTGTCTTGAGACTTGCCAGGTTGCCAATCTCGGCTGGGATTGGCCCGCTTATGATGTTGTTCTGCAGAAGACTGCAGCCAAGAGAACGGTAGGATATCTGCATCACAAATGGAAAATGGAACTCTGAACAAATAAGTGGCAGTGAGAAGAGCACACTCACATAGTCTCCAGGCTGGTCAGGTTTCCTATGCTTGGGGCGAGCAGGCCGGAGAGATTCTGGCTTGGAGCCTCCCTGTGGATGATTGAAAGAAGAAGGGCGTGTCAACGAAAAGTAAAAACATGCAAAGAATATGATTAGGTCCAAGTGAAGTGAAACAGGAAATGGGGTGATTCGCTTACAGGCCGGTGACGAAGTTGTCGGACGAGCAGGTGATCATGGTGAAGCTGCAGGGGTCGACGGAGTACTGGTCCCAGTTCTTGAGCACGCCGTGGGGGTCCTTGAGCTGGTTCTTGATCCCAATCAGCGCTTGCACTGCAGGCAAGCAGGCAGGCAGATGTTTCAGAAATTTGCGCAAAACCGATAATAATAATCCAAGAAACAGACAGAGCAGAGACAGACGGCCATCGTCGCAGAGAGTGCTCTCGGTTTAACTGAAGAAACAACATCAGAGGCAGGCAGAGCCATGGATTCGGTGGGAATAACAGAGTAGAGAAAGGGGCGGGCGGAGAAGAAAGACAGAGGCAGAAGAAGAACCAGTACACCCCCTAGAACGATTCCAGGACAGAAGAGAGAGACACGAACCTTCAATGTTGACGCCCTTGGCGGAGAGGAGCGCGCTGCAAGGGGAGGAGACGAGCAGCGCCACCGCCGCCAGCACCACCGCCACCAGCCGCCGCGGGGAAGGAGGCGCCTCCATTGCCGAGGAAGGGAGGCAGGGCAAGCCTGCCAGGGGCGTGACAAGGGAAGGCGGGGTGGTGGTTCAGGGGGGAAGAGGCCGTGTGCGGCTGCTGCCGGGGTGTTGGCTGCGTGGAGTGTAACGTATGTTCAAACACGGAGCAGGCGTGAGAGGCCGAGAAAAGCACGGAGGCTGCAGCCTTGGCGTCGCCTGCTCGCCACCCCACACCGCCAAAGCCAAAGTGGCAGGGGAGGGGGAGGGGCCACCGCCTGGGTGAGGGCCCATGTGGTGTGAGAGCGAGAGAGAGAGAGAGACAGATGACACAAAAGAAGATGCTTGCGCTGTGGCAGCGAGCGGGCGGAAAGCACAAAAGGGACCTGAGCCCCCCTGCCCCTGCGCGCTATAGGGAACCGGAATGATAAACAATGGGGAGAGAATGAGACCTCCCCATTCGTGACAGACAGATGACACAAAAGAAGACCCTGGTTCGTTTTTACTTTTACGGGAGGGGTAAAAAGCTTGCGTGACAGACAGCGTCCGGGATTTTTGCGGCCTCCTGCTTGCCCTTTCCTTTCCTATCCATTGCTTGCTGGCTCGTCGTTTCTTTTCTTGATTGATCGTCTTCTGAAATCTGAACCCACCAGAGAAAAATGATTGACCCCACACAAGGAAGAAATTGCAAGCGTGCTCTCAGACTTGAACGAGCTAGGCATGCAATGACTGGGAGCCTGGATCCAGATTAGTTCCACATGTTTTTTTAGACAAAGTTTTTTTTTTAGCAGTTAGACAAAGTTTTGTTACAGACATGAAGGCATGGAATGTTTCCCGGGCCTCAGGTTTGAGTCCGGGCTTGGCATTTTTCATATTGGCCATCGCAAAGTCTAGTCTAGGCCCAACCCAAGGCCCAAAGTATGCCGGAAAATACATAGTAATGTGTATGCTGGTTAAAAATATTGAA